CATCTAGGAAGGAAGGAAGGAAGGAAGGAAGGAAGGAAGGAAGGAAGGAAGGAAGGAAGGAAGGAAGGAAGGAGGGAAAGAAAGAAAAAAAAGGGGAAGAAACTGCATTCCAGCTATCCTTCGTCCCCTTTTAGAGGGGCCTAAAGCATCTCTCTCTCTCTCCTTCTCTCTCTCTCCTTCTCTCTCTCTTTCTCCTGGAGACCCCCCCCTCTCCAAGGAACGCCCCCCTCCCCCAGGGATGAGAGAGGCAGGCAAAGGAGTGGGTGGGCTTGGAGAAGGGACAGGGAGGCAGGAGGGGGGGGCGAGAGGGTCTGCAGGCAGCCAAGATGGAGATGCTGCAGCCTGCCAGTCTACAGGAGGAGGAAGAGGAGGAGGAGGAAGAAGAGAAGAACCGGCCATTGCCCCCTCTCCCCGCCCTCCTCCTCCTCCTCCTCCTCCAGCCGCGTCTCTGACTCCGGGAGTCAGCCAGAGGCTCCGCTCGGGCCAGGCTGCCATCCCAGCAGGAAGCCCTAGGGGGTGCCCTCGAGGTCATCCAGCCCAGCCCTCCGCTCAGCTACGGAATCAGCAGGCGCCTGAAGGTGTAAAAGATGCCGTGGTCCATTCAGGCTTGATGGAGGAGGAGGAGGAGGAGGGTTGTTTTTTTTCTGAAAGCCTGGCAGGGTCATCCTAGGGGGGCGCCCTAGAGGTCATCCAGCCGTGCCCCCATTCAGCTTACGGAATCAGCAGGCGCCTGAAGGTTTAAAAGATGCCGCGGTCCATTCAGGCTGCCTTGCCTCTTGATGGAGGAGGGTGTGTGTGTGTGTGTGTTATTATTTTTCTGAAAGCCTGGCAGGGTCATCCTAGGGGGGCACCCTAGAGGTCATCCAACCGTGCCCCCATTCAGCTTACGGAATCAGCAGGCGCCTGAACGTTTAAAAGATGCTGGCGGTCATGCTAGCCTCTCGACGGGGAAGGGGATTATTTTTTCCCCCTCTCCGTTTTTTTATGCCGAATCCAACTTAATGCAAGAAATTCCCAAAATTCACTTTTTTTTTAAAGGGATGGCTCTGTCCGCTTGCCAGAAAGATCCGATTCGGTTTTGTCTTCTTAAATCCATCCCTGTCTTCGCTTCCTTAAGGAACGAGGGCCGAGATCAGAGCTGAAACGTCTTTCTTAAAAAAAAAAAACCAGCTAAGTTTCTAGTCCCTGTTGTCAGCCAGATGTAAAGGAAAGGAGAGCAAGAGATTCGATCTTTCCCAGCTGCTTCCACGCGGTGGTTTTAAGTTTTCCAAACCCGTGTTTTCCGCCACAGCTGCAATTGCTGGAGAGAGAACATTTCCCCTTCCTTGGATGGTTTTTCACCCTGCGTGGCACAAGGATCCCCCATGGGCATGAAGGGCATTCACTGGAAGTAGGTTCTTGGCACAGGAGGAGGAAGGGGGGGGTGTTATGTATGGGGAGGGAGGGGAAGAGGGAATGTCCAGCAGGCAAAAATCCCATTTAATGGAAATTCAGCCAGGCTGTTTTGCCCCCAATGCTTGAAATCTCACTGCCCGCTTGAGCAAAAACTGGATTTAACAAATATCTGCAATTTGCATAACGGTGTGTGTGTATGTGAGAGAGAGAGGGAGAGAGGGAGAGAGAGAGAGAGAGAGAGATGGATGACAGGTAGAGATAGATACCAGAGAGAGAGGGAGGGAGGGAGAGAAAGAGAGAAATAGATGATGGATGGATGACAGGTAGGTAGGTACATAGATGATAGATAGATAAGATATAGATACCAGAGATACAGATAGACATAAGAGACAGAGAGAGAGAAAGAAAGAGACAGAGGGAGATATGATGGATGGATGGCAGGTAGGTAGGTATATAGAATATAGATACCGGAGATTTAGACATGATATAGATAGATAGATAGATAGATAGATAGATAGATAGATAGATAGATAGATAGATAGATAGATAGATAGATAGATAGATAGAT